GCTGGAGAGCAGTGGTGCGATCATAGCTCACTGCAGCCTTGAGCTCCTGGGTTCTGGCGATCCTCCTGCCTCAGCACTAGAGTAGCTGGGACTACAGGTGCACACCACCACACCCAGCTTCATCAATAATTATTTTATTTTTTATTTATATTATTTAGTATTAACTTTTATTAAAACTACTGGTTTATTGAAAGAAATTAATTATTATAATAATTACTAATAAAGATTAGTAATAATTAACTCATAGTTAACCCGCAAGTTAGCTGTGACAGTTAAGGCCGTGCTGGGAAGGACATTCGTTCGTTCTCTCCACTCTTTGGCCTCAGGTTGCTCGCCGCCACTGGCGCGTCTCAAACGTTCTTGCTTTCTCAATTTCAAAAAGTACTGTTTCGTGAATTGAGCCTTCTGTGGGCTTGTGACATTCTGGAGGGTACTTTTTGGCCTTGCTACTGATCAGAAGGAGAGACTGTGGGGAAGCTGCAGGAAGGCAAGGGATGCTCAGAAGATGGTCCTGCTGCCCGGGCTTCTGGACAACAGCAACCGCACTGTCCAAGAACCTGTCACCCCACTGTCCAGACAGCGCAGGGGCAAATTCAGAGCAGAGCAGAAGCTTACGTCTGCACAAGGCAACCGAAAACTTCGACCCGTTTCAGAAGAGTCTTGGCTAATGGATGAATAGATAAATAGCAGGTTATTAAGGGAAATTAGGGAAGTTCCAAGCGCATCTCTGGCCTTTCAGGATGGCAGCGTAGAATGCAAACACTGGACTCTCCCTTGCATTTTCCTTTGGGGCTGAGGTCAGAATTCTGGGCTAGTGGCCCTTATTCTGATCTGTGATGACATTTCTGGTCTTCTTAAGAATATTGTACCAGAAAAGGTTATGCTAGAACACCCAAAAGAGGAGGTGAGCAGTTTCAAGGGGCAGAGTCTGCCCTGAACACGGCTCCGGACTTAGGGTACGAGCCCTTCAACTGTACCACGCCAAGCACACCACTATCTGCTACATACAAACTTCTGGAGTGGGTCATGCTAATGGTGACGATGTCCACGGCAGCTGTGTTGACCACACTTATCTCCTTTGTCCCAAATAGACAGGGTGGGACGGTTTCATCGAGGTGGTCAATTTCTAAATGGACAATCCAGAAAGTTCCCATGACTTCAAGCATAGGGCTGTCTCCAGAGAGTCTGGCCTTGGATAGCCACACCCTCACACCTCAAATTATGCAGCATTTTGGGGGGAACTGGGAGTGGGGTTCCACCAGCATACCCTCCTGAGAATTCAGCGTAACTTCCCCAGGAGGAGGGATGGTTCAGGTTCAGAGTGCGAGGGTCCCCGTCATCTTCTTCCCTTCCACCATCCCTCTTCCCTCTTTCCTTCCCTTTGTCCTTCCCTTCCTTCCTCTCCTCTCCATTCTTTCTTTTTACAGTTTTCTGTTACAAGCCTTCTTCCTGTGGCTTCAACGACCCTGCCAGGACTTCCTGGGTAGCGAGGGAGGGAAGGCATGTCAGTGAGATTTGGGGCTGCCCCTTTCCTTCTAGTTCGTGCCTGGGCAAAGCCCGCAGCCCCATGTCAGCGAATACTCCGGGGTTGCAGAGACCCCAGCATTGATGGGAAAGAAGAGAGGGGCTTTTGGATCTCTCACTTTCCTGTCCGTTAGAGTCATCATTCTTAACCAAGGTTTGAGGCCAAAATTGATGCCTGATTCAGTGATGGAAACCCCAAGTTTCAAGGCTGGCTGGTGCAATACGGGGCGGGATCGCGGACAGGAAGTGGTGTGGCTGTGTGGGTGTAAAGGACGGACTTCCTCCCTCTCTGACACTTTCTACAGCAAGGGGGCCTTTCTCAGGCTGCCTCCTGTCCCTCCCACCAACAGACAGACAGACAGACACTCACAGACTTCACGCAAAGGCCCAGCGCAAGGCCTGGCACAGAACATAGACCTGATTCCTCAGCAACTTGTCTACTTCCCTTGTCCCTCCTGGAATAATATAATCATTTCTCAGGTCTATATTGTACAGAATTTTTACTTTTTCAGAGTAGGTGTGGCTCAGTGAACACTGGGTTTTCAGAACTCTTGTCCCATCTTGTTATCTTGGAGCGGACTTGGCCCCCCACAACCTAGACTGCCAGTTTTGGTTCCCTGCCTCCAAATTTATCACTTTAACATCAAAAGTGAAGGCAGTCTTGATCCTTCCTGAATTCTAGCTCAACCTCAGTGCATACACAGCAGCGAGGGAGGAAGCTCCCTGAGTTCAGAAACTCAATTATTCAACGTTCTTGATAAAGCGGTTAGCAAATTGGAGCAAAGTGGCCGGATCTGGGAGATATTTAGGAGACATACTGACAGGGCTTGGTGGGTTAGCCTAGGAACAGGGAGGAATCAATAGATTTCTGACGAGGCAGATAACGGAGCACCTTATTAAACAGGTAAAAACAGATTGGGAAACATGTTTGAAGGGAAGACGATGAGATCCTGAGTAGGGCATGGAAGACGTCAAGCGGGATACATTGTTCCCTCAGAGGCACCCACCAGGCAGCTGAACGGATATACAGGTCCGCCTTCGGGAGACATAGTGGGGCTCGGGTACAGACGTGAAGGTTATCAGTGTAAGGCTAGATGGTGGCTGAGATGGAAGCAGGTAGAGAGAGAGGAAGAAACATAGAAGCCACTGTCGTGGGCTGTTGGGAATTAAGGGAACCTGAGATATACCCATGAGACTTAGTAACCAGAGCTGACGGGTGACCTCCAAGGGGGCATGTCAGTGAGGTGGTAGGAGCAAAGGCTAGCTATGACAGAGCCTGGCAGATACTCAACAAACCCAGTTCCTCCTCCCCCAAGCACTTGGCTAAATTTTATTTCCTGACTTCCCTTGTGGCTGGGCGAGGCCACGTGACTGTGTTCTGGCCAATACACCACGGGGGAAATGATGCACTGTCACCTCCGAACGTGGTTGGAGGTGTGGAGCCAGGGAACTATATGAAGTCAAGCTGGACAGGGCGGAAGGAAAATGAGGCCAATGGGGCCAGCAGGCAAGGACACCCTGAGGTTAGCTGCAGAGCAGGGGAAATGCCAGCAGAACAGCAGTGACTATAAGGGTCAGAGCAGGTCATCAGACAGTCAGGGCAGCTACAGGTGTCCACAAGCCTGGAGAACATGGAAGTTCTGCATGATCAAGTTAAGACCCATCGCTCCCTGCAGGGCCAGAAAGTGCTGGAGTTGAAAGTCAGCAGCAGCAAAATGCCTGCATGTACAAGGCATACACTTTATGTCTTTTTTTTTTTTTTTTTTTGAGACAGAGTCTCACTGTGTTGCCCGGGCTAGAGTGAGTGCCGTGGCGTCAGCCTAGCTCACAGCAACCTCACACTCCTGGGCTCAAGCGATCCTCCTCCCTCAGCCTCCCGAGTAGCTGGGACTACAGGCATGCACCACCATGCCCGGCTAATTTTTTCTATATATTTTTAGTTGTCCGATTAATTTCTTTCTATTTTTAGTAGAGACGGGGTCTCGCTCTTGCTCAGAGCTGGTCTCGAACTCCTGACGCCTCGGCCTCCCAGAGTGCTAGGATTACAGGCGTGAGCCACCGCACCCGGCCACACTTTATGTGTTTCTACTCACAGCCGCCGAGGCCCCAGAGTCCACCGTCACAGACGGGCTGCTCACCTGGTCTGCGCAGCCCTGGCCAGCCTTGTGAGCTGCTCACGGAAGGACATGCCACACTTAGACACCAGCTGAGCAGGACCCAACTTACCTTCTTGTTGCATGGCTTCAGCCTGACTATTAATTCAACAGAGGATCAGGAGTGAGATCACCTGAGGTCTCAGCCTGGTTCTGCTGCTCACCCACAGGTGACCTTGAGCAAGTTCCTCCCCCTAGCTGAACCTGAACCCCTCATCAGAATGGATGATTTTAATGTCTATTAAAATCAATAAGATTAAAACTTGCAGCATTCCCCTGAAAGAGCTACATTCAGGCAGCTTTTTGCCCCTGAACTCCCAGCAGGCATGAGCCCTGTTCTCTAAGAGCAGCCTTCCAATGCCTCTGAGCGGGGAAATTTTGCAGCCTGTAGCCCGTGCATGTTAGAGGGGACCAGGCAGACCTCCAGTAGGAAGGGGAACCCTCCCAGGAAAGGGCAGGCTTGCGGGGAGCGGCCAGTATTAATACTTGTATGGAGGCGGCAAGTCCTTCACCCTGGGACTTTCTTTTTATTTTTTTCTTTTCAAACCATCTACATTTACAACAAAACCCTTTCCTTTCTGTTCCCATTTCTTGTTCCCTTTACTATGGGATGGCTCCACCCTCCGAACCATCTCTCCTCCAGGGAGAAAGAGAATTGGAGGAGGATGGGGAGTGTCTCCCCAATTTGCTTTCCTCACTGGCGCCAACTTCAGCTTGGCTTGGTCCTGTTTTTCCTGAAAGAATAGAATGGGTCAGACAGGACTTTTGAAAGGAAATTGCTCTTCTCACTTACCCAAATATGTGTTTGTTTAAATAAGGGGACAGAGCTCCCCCACTCCGTTGTGATTCAGCCTAATATGAAGTTTTCCCCCCGAAGCTGTGCCTGCGTACGGAATGGGGAGGCGACCTCGGAGTGTACAGAGCAGTTGAGAAAACCAACCTGGAACAGAAAGTCTTCCAGAGCAGTCAGTGCGGAGTGAGAACCGACTGAGCCGGAGGGCTACGCAAAGCTTTAGACAAACATGAGTCACGCCCAGCATGTCCCTCCGTGAGCTGGCTGGGCCAAAGACTTCTGAAAGCCTAGGGGTGGCAGGGAAGTCCCATTGGCCAATGCTCCGCCATGGCCCCCAAAGGCACCTCCCCTACCATCAATGGATGTGGCTGTCGGGGAGTGACCAGGCAAGACCCATGAGCCACAAACAACCTGAGGAGACAGAAGATGACCTCTCCGGGAAGAGGAACTATACTGTGCCTCTAAATTCCAGGAACTTGGAGAAAGGAGAGACAACAACCACCTTTATTACCCAAATTCTAGAAGAAATGGTTCTCCATGACGGCAGAACCTACTAGCTGCCAGAGTGGATAAGAAGTCACTCCTGAGGGTGGCCTTCCCGCCAGATCTGCGCAAGAGCCCTGAGAGTGGGGTGCTGCGGGCATCGTGCTGTGCCCGGTCTGCAGTCTGCAGGGACACGGCTGGCCCCCGAGCTCCCAGGAGGAGGCCAGGCCTCAGGTCCCCCGGTACACAACTGCGGAAGAAAACCCTTCCTCCCACGTGTGAGATCGGCCAAGGCTCCTCGCTGGGCAGAGCGGTGTCCTCGGGCTTCATCGGGGCAGGCAGCCGGCCATGGGGTCCGGCCGCGGCGGCACCGGCACAAAGTTCACGGGGCAGAGCAGCAGCGGGCACATCTTCTCGTGCTCCCTCAGCGCCTCGGTCAGGTGCTTCAGCTCCTCCGTCAGCTTCCCGATCTCCCTCCGCAGCCCGGCGTTTTCCTGCTCCAGGCACTCGTACTCCTGGGGAGGACAGAGAACGGGCAAAATCGGCTCTGAAATCATATTCCCTTCGTCCGTCCTCCTGTCTACCCCGCCAGGCATGCTCACCTCCCGCCCAGGAAAGCTGTGTCATAGTCTGTGTCCCCTCCGCCACTCAGATTTGTTTATTTGCTTAGTGTCTCTCCTCTCACTAGGATGAAGGAATCATGAGGGCAAGGCTTTGGTTTCTGAATCAACTTTATTGAGGTATAATTTACATACAATGAAATGCATCTATTTTAAGTGCATAATTCTATGAGTTTCGACAAATGCATACACCTGTGCTCATCAATATACAGAATATTGCCACCGCCGCAAAAAGGTCCCTCCTGCCCCTGTGCAGTCAGTCCCCTCAACTGCTGAGCTGCTTCCCGAAGGTCGCTGTTGGGTTTACAGCTATACCCCCAGCGCCCAGAACTGTACTTGGAACGTAACAAATGTTTGTTGCTTGCACGAATGTATGTGCTGCCGAAGCGAGCACCTGCATGAATAAATGGATGAACACATCCTTGCCTTGGCTTTGCTCCAGCACTCATCTGTTACGTTTCCACCGTATCAGGGTTTACAGCGGCTTAGAGCTGGAGGGGATGAGAGAGACCCAAGCCACACAATGTAGAAACCTTCCATGTATAATTCTAGCTCAGACATCCACTTGTGCTGGGCACTCCCTCCTTTAAAGGACAGTCCTTGTCATTTCTGAGTTGCTCTATTAGAAAGCTCCCCTTTGTACTGATCCAAAATCTCCCTATCCTTCAAACCCACCTGTGGGCTTGGTTCTACCTACTGGAACCACAAAGAGTAAATCCAATACTTTTTGCAACATCACAGTTCTTAAAATGTTAGGAGACAGCCCCACACCACTTCCCCTTAGGTATTCTCTGAGCCCAACTCTCTCAGGTCCTCTGAGTTCCCTGTGTCAAAATTTGCAGCCCCTCTACCCTCCTGGAGGTTACCCCTGACACACTCTTATTTTCCAGAATCTCTGAGGAAATGTCACTCCCAGAATGCAGTGCATGATTCTGGGGACTTTGCAAAGGGCAAATGCGTGGTGGTGGCCTCCCCTGTGCTGGACCCTGGCCACTGGAGATTCTCCCAGAGCTTGCGCAGAAGTGCAAGCTTCGTCTGCACCAGCTGCTTCTCTATGCTTGGACGATAACTGTTGTGGAGCTTAAGGGTAGGGCTTTACGTCTGTCTCCAGTGAAATTCACTCTGTTCACCTGGGCATCTTTGAGCCTAGCAAAATCTTGTTTTTTTTT